TATACCTGTGTATATTATAACATATGAAATATATATAAAAATTGTTATAAAAATATAAAAAAAAATTTTGCGCAAAATAATTAATGGAAAAAAAGAAAAAAGAAAAAAAAAAATGATGATCTATTTTGTTATAAATAAACTCGATAGAGTCAACGAAGAGTCGAGGAAACTCGTCAGCAAGCATTGACGAAAGAACCGCCAGAAATCTCATGGGAAAATACATTGGGCGCACCTAATGGTGTCCCATTCGACGAAGACACTAAAGAACTTCTTAAGAATTGCTTGGACGTTTCGATACCACCACAGACAACCATAACGGAGATCATCAAACGAAGTTCTACCTTTCCCATCAATTTTCCGATAAACACCGTAAGGTGTTCGGCCTTGAGAGACAAAGGTGTGAGTGCTGACGTATTGGAGGTTGGTATTAAAAAAAGATTAAGAAGATCAATTATTTTTTCTATTTAAATTCTAATTGAGATAAAAAAAAAATGATCTCACCTGTTATGGGGAAAATTAATTTACATATTTTATTAATTAATAATAATAAGAAGAAAATGTGTAATTTATTAAACGTAAAAGTTTCGTTTAACGAATTTTCATTGTTAACATATTTTATTAATTAAAAAAAAAATAATAATAATAATAAGAAGAAGAAAATGTGTAATTTATTAAACGTAGTTTCGTTTAACAAATTTTTATTGTTAAACTTGTCGTATAGTTTATATTATATTATTTTATTATTTATTATTTATTATTTTATTAGTTATATATTATATTATATTATATTAATAATAATAATAATAATAAATGTTAATTATATTATTTAATAAAATTAATTTTCAGTTAAATGCAAACTCAGCTTACCCGTTGATTCATGAAGCAATGTTACCGCTCATAGCAAGATGGTTAAAACACAAAAGACAATACGGTAGTGCGATAGAAAGAGTACTTTACAAAGAAATGGGTCTTATAGAATTGATTCAACGATTACTAGAAAAAAGGGCCGTAACTTTCGTCGACTCGCAGGATCATTACAAACTCATTGATGGAAAAACTGGTGTTAATGGTTGGGAAAGTGTTGGAACTGATTACGAAAAGGAACCATTGGTTAGTAAACAAATATTTATATAGTCTATATTTCATATCGATTATTTCAATATTCTCAAATATATTATATAGAATTAAAATTTATTTATACAAAATAATCCCATCAATTATATTAGCACATAAAGTATTCCTGTTATTTCTTATAATATAGAATAGTGTTATATACAAAACTTATA